AAATCAATTAGGGTTAACATTAGAGCCTATATTTTTAGGTTTATACCTCTAGGTCCTTTAATTTCATAATTTGACATCTTAAGCTAGAAAAGCCTTTAATTTACCTTAGCTTAATTAGGATTAATAAAAATTTGTTTGACTGCATTTTATTTCCAAACCTAAGGCAATGTTCACTTATTAAAGAATTAACAGTATATCTCCCGCAAGTATGCTCAGGGGGTGATTACTGGTGATTCCTGAAATAGGTCGACATCTTTTTCAAAACCGCATCATGATTTTTAAAATCAAGGTAATGTTCGGTCATTAGGCACATAGATAATCTCCCGCCTTTATGCTAGGGGCGAATGCTATCTGTCTTAATAAATGGGTACCCTTTTCAACTTTGCATCCGTAATGATTTTCAAATTAAATAAAGATCGAACTCAAAATTTCTGATTTTAAATATATGGTAATCAACTATGTACCAATTTTTGGGCACTTGTGGGGGTGCTAATCCTTCCCCATGCATAATTGACTCTCGAACCTGATTTCTTGATTTTCGCAGACCTTAAAACTTGGTATTTTTATAAAAATAAAATGTTTTATTAAAATTACCCAGTTTTTATGGTGTCTCAATCGCACCTTAAATGATTGGTGACACCCATTGTTATCAAAACCGGACCGGACCGGTCGGTTGAACCGGTTGAACCGGGAACCAATTTCCTGTCCAGTCCGGTCAGCTTCCAAAACCAGTTCTGCAATGAACTGGTTGGGAACTGGTGTGAACCGGCTGGGAACTGGCAAAACCGGTTTGAACCGTCAGTTCTGTTTTAACTATTTTTTTAGCTCCTTTTAATGATTTTTTCACGTTTTTTTCCCTCTTTTTTATTTTAATCAAAATGTGGGACCAACTTGTCTCTTTAGGACCTTGTTGGTCAGGGGTGCACTGGTGCTTGCGTCTAAAAGATCTGACATGGTTCGAGCTTTGAGGGCCGGTGAAGAAACTAAACTATACAAAATGCGGGACAAGCGTGATATTAGGGTGTGAGTTCCAACAATTATTTTAGGTATTTTTTATATTTTAAAATAAAAAATTTGTGGTTTTTAATAAATAAAAAATTAAATCGGGTCGGGTTACGGGTGGAGTACCCTTTCTTCTCAAGTCGGGTCAGGTGGTCCAAAAACCCGACCCATGCCCATCCCTACTTGTGATATTTTTATACCTTTTAATATTGTAAACTTAAAAAAAGTGTTATATATATATTAATATTGCTTTGAATATTATGTAAAATTTTTAAAAAAAATATTATTTTATATAAACCGGTTCAACCCGATTGAACCACGGTTGAACCAGTGAACCAATGAACCTGTACCTTCATCGGTTTAAAGTCCGGTCCGGTTTTAAAAACAACGGTGGCACCTCCTCACATTTCGAAATTCCTTTTCAAAGAGAAAACCTCCGAGTCGGTATCTATCTTTCCCCACCAGGACGAAAAACGGTGTCGACAATTACCATATTTTTTTGGGAGTGTCATTTCCTTTAATTTTTTTAGGGATTCAACAACTTCTTTCTTTTTTAACAAGAAAACTCCTGAAATTATAGAGTTATTTCAAAAATAATCAATTTTTTAAAAAATAATTGCATGATATAAATCTATTTTTTTTAATTTTTATTATAATTCTAAATTTTTAACACTCCTTATAAAATAATATTATGCATATAAAATAAAAAGTAATAAATATATATCAATTTTGTATTTTATTTTGATTATTTATTATGTATGTGTTTGATTCAAGTTTTATTTTTGGTATGTGTTTTATTACTTCTATTTTTTAGGATTAATTTCAATAAAAGGTTTTTCATATTTTATTTTAATGTTTTCATTAATTTTGTCAAATAATTTGATATGATATTTTGTTGTACAACTCATACATGTAGGATGAATAAATTAAGAATGAATGTAGAAATAAACACATAATTACACTGACGTAGTTATATACATCTTACAATATCATGGTACCCTAGAAATAAACACATACTTACATTTGTATAAATATTTTTATATATTTTCAAAGAAATCGAAAAAAGAAGAAATAATATCAAAATATATATTAAATTATTTCTATAAAAGTTTTACAAAATTAAATATGAACTAGAAATAATAAAAAAATTATATTTTCTATGAACTTTCATGTAAATATTTTTACTTTAATTTTGAGAATTTAACTTGTTAATGAGAAAATATATCTCAAAGAATACTTAGTAAAACTTACATTATTTTTATCTTATATTTCTTTAACCAAACATTGTAATTTTATATTCTTATCAAATAAATCATACAAGAAAATATACCATTTTAATAATATGTCAAATAAAAATAATCCTATTTTCAAAGATAATTTTATATTCCGTGAACTAAAATAACCCCTTACTAATATCGTACAAAGTGATTCAAATTGAATCCTCTAAAAGTATATACATGATAACTTGATAAGTCTTAATTCTTTCATATTTAGAAACACAACAGTGATAAAGAAACAGGTAGTATTGTTACTTTTAAAAATTTTGAATTCGAGAATAATATTTGTAAAGTATATATATTATGAATAATTTAAAAAAAATTAAAAAGATATTATTATATAATTATTTTAAATTATTTTTAAAGAAATACAACAATTTGCCCATTCAGTATTGAAATATGAACTTCAAGGCTATTCTGTTTGCCATAAACAACGATATAATAGGGTATGGTTGCTATTTTTTAAAAAAGTATAATTCATATAATTTAAATTTTTTTAATATCTAAAAGCAACTAGGTAATCTCAGAGATTAAAGGAGTGGGAAATTAAGGTTATGAGGGATTTGGGATTTGGAAATGACAAAATTGTGGTTTCTTTGATGAAACTGAAGACTGATTTCATGCATTTCGCCCAAAGCTAGTCTAACCCCATTCCCTATTTTCCCATATTAAAAGGAGAAAATCAAAGCACGTCTAAATTATTTTTTTTATAATCTAGTATTCAACCCTAATTTTAAAATATTAATAAATTAAAATAATAATTATCGTTGATAATATTTAGATTTTGACAATTATTGATAATTTATTTCGTTTGATTTGGATAAAAAATCACAATCAACAATAATTTTAAGAGAGAGAATGTATGATGATGGTAGTCATCTTTCACTTAGAAAGAATGAATATTCGAGATAATATTTAGATTTTGACAATTATTGATAATTTATTTCATTTGATCTGGATAAATAATCGCAATCAACAATAATTTTAAGAGAGATAATGTATGATGGTGGTGGCCATCTTTGACTTAGAAAGAATGAATATTTGAGAGATATCCCTCAGTTTTGTATGAAGGATTATATATTGACCTTTAGTGTTAGTGTCAGGCGTCAGATCATTATAGGTTACTTGTAGGTTGATAGGACGAATGAATATGATTGACTAATAATATATTTGACTTTGACAAATCATAAGTGCCTATCAGAATTTATATCAAATGTTATTTTTGACCGAAGAATGTGGATCTCCAAAGAGTTCAATCAAAGGAAGAATTTTGCCAAAAATTTTCAATCGACGGAGTAGAAGCAAAAAAACTACTTGTAGGGAAAATCCAGAGAAAATATAATAATAACAAATCAGACGACGACATCTTATCATAACTTTTTAATAATAAATACAAGTAAATTTAATTTTCATAGTGTATTGTTTAAGTTCACCAAGTTTAAATCTTAAATGACATAGAATTTACTGGCGTCAAGAGAAAACTATTTTTTATATAAAATCAAAGGAGAAGGAATAAAAAAATCCTTCTCCTTTTGGCTTGTGTGTCAAATTACCATATATTGTGAACCCTACCAATCAATAAAGAATCTCTCGACATGCCACATGCCACATGCACCCTTTAAGTTCTCCAGGGAACTTCATTATGAAACAAAGAACACTTAAACTAAATTTGAAAACAAAAAGAAAGGGGGTCATTTCTTATAATGGGTTTTCGATAAGATAAAGATAGATTCTACTAATATTCAAAAGAAAGATAATCTTGAATAAAATAAAATATATATAATCTAACATCATTATTAGGTTATTGCATGTCTTTATCCCTTTGCAATTAATTTAAAAGAAGATTACCTATAGATTTTATTTTAATGTAATGGCGGATTCACACTTTCTAACAATGGGTATTAAATTTTGAATTTTCTTTGATTAAATATTTATTTTATTGATTATGTCTACTCTAAAATTCTATTTGTGCTCACCTATTCAAAAAAACATATTATTAATATATGTATGTCCCCCGAAAAATATTTTTTGAATATATCATTAGTTCGGTGTATAACATGGAATGCATGCATGCATATATGCATGTCTTGGGTTTTTTCCTTAACTTTTATGGGTTGGATTCATTTGTATTATTGGTTTAAGTTTATATCCCCGAGCATTATTGTCCATTATTTAAGGTATGATTCATTGCAATTTGCAACCTTTGGATGTCCAGCAAAACAGTTTTTTAGAGGCATTTTTTCATTAATATAGTGGTGTTTTTAAGTGTCGCTAACCACAAATGCCACTAAAGGTTATGTTTTTTAGCGACGTGTTTTATAAACGCCGCTAAAGGTAAAGATATTTAGCCCTTTTTTACAAACTTTGCTAAAGGTAATGATATTTAGTGTTTTTTTATAAACGCTGCTAAAGGCTATGATATAACGGCTTTTTTTACAAATGCCGCTAAAAGTTATGATATTTAGTGGCATTTTTCCCAAACGCCGCTAAATTTGACATATATAAGCCAAATTTAGGTCAAATTATAATTTGGGTCCTACGTCCGAATTGAAAACGTTAATTTGACATTATTTAATTCTTCAAATATATATCGATTAAAATATGAACATTTTGAAAACTTCATTTCCAACATAGAAAATGATCGAAATACTACTAAAAAACACTAATTATGTGAGATTAAATCCCAAATCTGAATATAATAAAATGACCAAAATAATTCAACTAAATCCAATTATGAACATAGTTTTTGAGCACAAATTCCATCGATCTGAGAAGTTCAAAGACACAGACATCTCCTTCCCCCAAATTATTCTCCAATGTAAATTCATACCATCCTTGACTGAACTTAGCCCTGCCTCCTCTATAAAGACACCGAACAAGCCACTGTATCCCATCTGGAAGCTGAAGTTTAATGAACCCAGAAACCCTACTTAAATGTTGCTCGGCAAAGTATGATGGTAAATACTGCAATAGAGAAAATCAGAATGTACACTTAGGCAAGGCTATATAGACCGAAACCAAAAGAGCATCTAAATTGTATTCAATGCTTACCATGATACATCCCCTGTATAGATATGATGGTCGCAAGACGACCCAGCAGAAAGGGTTTGTCGGCTCGAATGTTTTGGCTACATTAATTGCCCCCCCTCTTTCTTTAGCAGTCACAATTCTCTTTCTGACTGAGGGCATCTCCAATGCTGCGTTGCATTGGAGATTTTCTCCAAAGTAGAGATGAGAAAGCCCTCCAGCGTTGCGCCACTTTGAAGATAGCTAGCTACATCCATTTTTTTTTAATGATTAAATTAGATTAAATTGTAAGATAGATAAAAATACATTGAAATTAGATAAATAAACATACTAATTTTTTGAAACATAAAAATATTAATTTTCATAATATTATTTATGAATGTTTTATTTATACTTTTTATCTTTATATTTTTTAGAAATAAATATGTTTTATTTTATATTTTCAAAATCAATATTATAATAGTTAAATATTGTGACTAAAGTAGAGATAGTGGTAATATAGAGATAACACTGGAGATGAATTATTGTTTCATCTCTAGAGTAGAGATATAGATGCACTAAAGTAGAGATGAGGGTTGGAGATGTCCAGAAACACTTTCATAAAATCTATTGTGCATTTCCATGTCATCCTCATGTACGAGAGATGGAGTCTCTTCATCTACATTTCATCGAACAATTGATGTGAAATTCCAAAATATTTACACACCGCAAAACAAATGAGGACTCACCAGGCTCAAACTTCATCTTTTTCCTCACCGGTTTCTCCAGTTTTGGTAGCTCTGCACCTGAAGAATGTAATTTTGCTTCATTAGCAGAAAACTACTTTTCGATCCTTTTACCTAATACTTGCATCGAATTGAGAAGATCAAACAAAAGGATATAAATATATACATCCTCACACATAAACATGGTAACTAGAGCGTAATCAACAACCAAATCAATATATCCATTACCAAACAGAAAAAATAGGGTAAGAGATTAAAATTAAACTCCGTACATGTCTGGATGAAATTTCCCATCCTGTACATAAAGCACCGGCATTACGATCCGCACATATTTGGTGCGTATTTGATAAAACTCAGTATCAGCATAAACCAGAAAGAAATGTCAAACAAACAAATGACAAACTATGGATGATACTCACAGATTCCGAAATCAACGTAGCATACGACAAGAATGAAAAATGAAATGCTTAACACAACTAGTAATAACTTGCAGTTTTCTTAATTAATAATGATAATATTTTATTATCTAAAATTATATAAATAAAATCATGCATATGTAATTAATTCCAGCAAGTAACCCCACATCTTCAATCCACCACTTATCTGATAAGGACTCTGTAAGAAGAATTTAGATCTTGTGTTTCTTCCATTTTTATACGTTACCCAGTTCATCCAGTAGCCAAACAAACTACTATTATTTTATTTAAACAACATCATATCACACCAGCTACCAAAATATTAATTTAATTCTCCCTAGCTTTACTCTAATTCCCATCAACCAAACATACTCTTAGCAGGTCTTAACATTCAAATTTAATCTCCAACTCTCAAAAACACAATTCAAAACCCAGAAGAAGAAAAAAATAACAGAAACCCGTAATTGAATAATACATAACAAACAAAGCTCATGATCTATTTCTATAGGCCTCTAGCTTCTCAATACTAAAATATTGAATTAAACAAAATGTTAAAGGAAGGGGAAACTTGGGTTTTGAGTATTTTTACCAGTTTCTTGTCCTGGAGAGTAGCGGAGAGAATAAGCTTATAGAAAGAAGGGAGTGGCATTTGGTGGAAAATTGTCAGACCATATAATGATTTTGCGTTCGCGCGGAGAGAATAAGCTTATGTATATGTATATATGTATTTATCTATCTAATTGTACTCTCACTGAATGAAATCATAATACTGTGTTGAGTTCTTGAATTTATTTATCAAACAAACTGAGAAATTAAAAAGGAGAAAATCTCAACAGACAGAAAGAGAAAGAAAGACTTTTCAGATCTTAGTCTCCCCATTCACTTTTTTGCTTTCCCACTGTTTTTTTTCTCTCTTTTTTTGAGGAAAAAAAACGATTTCAATGTTTGTTAACTCAGTTACTCACTGAGTTCATATCTCGGAATCTTAAACTCGCACTTTTCGTATGACACCACTAGCATAACTTTTCTTTTCAATGGCTTTGTTGCAGAATTGTTTTTGAATTGTTAGAACGGATACCAATTTGGCGTCACTGGCTCCGTGGCTGTCAGATGAGGATGGAAGCTTTGCTCCAAGACTAACAGTGAGGTAAATTTCTTGTTATTAACGACTGAAACAAAGAGAAAGAGATTGAAAATTGAAAATACCTTTCGAGATAGTCTCGGAAGAAGGAGAGGGAAGGATCATTGAGAACAGAGGATTAGATCTGCAGAGCTGGATGAACTTCTTGAGCTCGCTCAATTTCGCCGGATCCATTGGATTTCAATTTCTAGAGAGAGATGCTTCGTTTAGGGGATTATGTTTAACTTCGGTAGGAATGAAAAAATATGTGAAGTGGGAAAAATGAAAAAGGGCGGGATTTAAAAAATGTAAACTTGTGCGCCACTAAATTACGATTCTATAGCGACGTTTATATAAAAACACCACTAAAACACGAGTCTTTAGCGGCGTTTTAACAGAAAACGTTACAGTCTTTAGCGGTGTTTATTTAAAAACGCCACTAACATACGAGTATTTAACGGCGTTTGTTCTAAAAACGTCGCTATAAACTCATTTTGCTGTATTAACTAACAGGGAATTATATCTACATTTTGCTTATAGTATGTTTTTAGTTTTCGAAAACATCAAGCTAATTATAAAAATCATGAAAGTTAAAGCTTTATTTGACTAGTAAAATCTTCTACATGAATATGAATATGATGATGCACATTTATCAAGAGTTCAGGTTTTGATTATTAGATTATACAATTTTAATCTATAAATTCATAACACTTTTTGAATTTAATCGAATGGTGTGTAATAAAATTTGAAAGAATTGAATTTCTATTTATCTGGTAAGGTTACATTAGATTAAGCAGAACTTGACATATACATTAAGGATATTATAAAATATAAATGCGAACCATCTCTTTCTTTCTATATTGTTGGACTTTGTGAAAATTATTTAACACCATTTACTATTTTATAAATGGATTTTGCTTTCATTAAAATAAAAGTTGTTCAAAAAAATAAATGTTGGATAAGTCGATGAGGTGAAGCAAAATTTTCAATAGTATATGATATTAACAACACAGTTCATAATTAAAATAATTAAATTAGAAAATTCAGTTTATAAAAAGCTTAAGTTTTCTCTTTTAAAAAAAACTCTGAAGTCGTCTATCTTATTTTGTATTCTTAGTTGATAGCAAGAACGAAGTAGAATTATATTACGCTTCACGATCTGCGGTGCGGCGCCTAAAAAACGGCTAATATACGGCGTGACCGGTTAAACAAGTGACCGGTTAAAATTTAGACCGGTTATGTTATATTATTTAACCGGAAATATTATAAAGTACAATAACATACTAGGTAGCGCTTATATAATGTAATAGGTAGCGCTTATATTTACCTATTTTATAAGTAAACCGGTATATTTATACCGATAGCATTGCAAATTTACCTATTACATTATATTATATTGAAAGTGTCCATACTTTTTATAAAAAGGATCGATACTTTAACAGTGTTTCATGTTTTCCACCTACAATATTAATTTAATAATTTCATTTGCACAAAAAATTATTTGATTGTTTTGATATTTTATAAAATAATATTTAGAATTTTTAATTTAATAATAATATATATCGTAACGTAAAAAATAAATCATTAGACGCCTATAATTACTAAATTAATATCTTAAAACTCACTCAAAAGATAACCTTAAATTAATGTTTTCCACAGTGAAAAAAGTATGGACACTTTTATAAAAAAGGATAGACACTTTACAATATAACCACTACCTATTACATTATATAAACGATACCTATTACATTATATAAGGGCTACCTATTACATCATATGTTTACCTATTATATTGAAAGTGTCCATACTTTTTATAAAAAGGATCGATACTTTTTTTAAAACTTATGTAATTTATGTTTCAATTTTTTTAACAGTGTTTCATGTTTTCCACCTACAATATTAATTTAATAATTTCATTTGCACAAAAAATTATTTGATTGTTTTTATATTTTATAAAATAATATTTAGAATTTTTAATTTAATAATAATATATATCGTAACGTAAGAAATAAATCATTAGACGCCTATAATTACTAAATTAATATCTTAAAACTCACTCAAAGGATAACCTTAAGAACACTTGAAGAAGCAAGAGAACAACTATCCAAGCAATCAAAAACGAGAAAATCCCAACATGATAACAACTGAACATATCATATCAATGTTCAAACTCAAGTTGTAGATTTTGATTTCCTTTTGCTTGGCATCATATGAGATTTGGATTTTGATTTCCTTTTGCTTGGCACCATATGAGCTTTGGATTTTGATGAGCATCGGATTTTGATGAGCATCGGAAGTATTTCAGACTTATGATTTGGGTGGTACTCAACTTATGATTTTAGTTGCTATTTGTTACATTTCTTGTATACCACCCAGATCATACGCCCGAAACGTTTCTGACGCTTTAAAGTTGACCAAAAAATAAAATGGTCGGGATTTCCCTCGCGTTTATACGTTGGAAAAAAAACAATGGAAATTAGGAATAATCAATGATAACATGCATATTGGCTTGGGCTAATATTTATAGTGGAGCCGAAATATATATTGAAATTCAAACTCAAATTGAAATTTAAATTCAAACTCCAATTACATATGAAATGAATTTGAAATGCAGTGTTAAATTGAACATGAAAATTGCATAATTGATTCATACTGTTCTAGTAACATGCTTTATGAACCATCAAGCTAAAAGACAATATTGATTGAGTTCAAAGCTGAGTTGTGAGTTGATGGAGTTGTCACACTTGTCACATGGTTGGAATAAAGTACTCACATGCGAGATAGATTGTTTTGTTATACATAACCCATCTCAACGAAATTAATCCAAATAATGTACCCATAACAATGTTCAATTAATGTACCCACAACAATGTTTAATTGATTTGTTGTTTAATTTTCAATTTGAATTATTTGATTTAATAATTTCATTTGCACAAAAAATTATTTGATTGTTTTGATATTTTATAAAATAATATTTAGAATTTTTAATTTAATAATATATATCGTAACGTAAAAAATAAATCATTATATGCCTATAATTACTAAATTAATATCTTAAAACTCACTCAAAGATAACCTTAAATTAATGTTTTCCACAGTGAAAAAAGTATGGACACTTTTATAAAAAGGATAGACACTTTACAATATAACCACTACCTATTACATTATATAAACGATACCTATTACATTATATAAGGGCTACCTATTACATCATATGTTTACCTATTATATTGAAAGTGTCCATACTTTTTATAAAAAGGATCGATACTTTTTTTAAAAGTTATGTAATTTATGTTTCAATTTTTTTAACAGTGTTTCATGTTTTCCACCTACAATATTGATTTAATAATTTCATTTGCACAAAAAATTATTTGATTGTTTTTATATTTTATAAAATATTATTTAGAATTTTTAATTTAATAATAATATATACCGTAACGTAAAAAATAAATCATTAGACGCCTATAATTACTAAATTAATATCTTAAAACTCACTCAAAAGATAACCTTAAATTAATGTTTTCCACAGTGAAAAAAGTATGGACACTTTTATAAAAAGGATAGACACTTTACAATATAACCACTACCTATTACATTATATAAACGATACCTATTACATTATATAAGGGCTACCTATTACATCATATGTTTACCTATTATATTGAAAGTGTCCATACTTTTTATAAAAAGGATCGATACTTTTTTTAAAACTTATGTAATTTATGTTTCAATTTTTTTAACAGTGTACTGCGAATTTAAAATGATAATATACTTGTAGTTATTGTACATACCTAAATATGTACTGCGAATTTAATGTTGTACCCACCCTTTAACTACCACTACCAATGCCACATCCTATTGAAAGCAGCACGACAGAAACATGTTCAAAATGAACCTTCGTTTACATATCCATCAACTCCTGGAGCACTGAACTTGCACAACAAAATTTTTGCCATGGATAATACTGATGTAGACAATGTTAAGCCAACCGAGGAATGCCATGAAGTACATAATGTTGATGAATCTGACAGATTGGTTGGTCAGCTCTTCTGTTCACGTGATCAAGCTTGGCACTTTTACAAGGGATTCGCACGGGAACATGGGTTTAGTGCACGTAAGGGAACAACACGGCTTGACGTGGAAGGGAATGTGAAGACACAAGAATTTTGTTGTTCCAAAGAAGGGTTTCGAGTATCAAAAGTCAATACTGTTGATCGTCAACGTGCTCATACGCCAGTCACAAGAACAGGATATAAGGCTAGAGTCGTAGTTACAGCAACAAATACAAACGATCAGTGGGTTATAAGTAAGTCTGATCAGAAACATAATCATGCATTGTGCACATCTGCTATGACACCATTTATGCGTTCTAATCGAGCTGTAAGTAAGGCTGATATCGATGAGGCAACAACATTGAAAGAGGTCGGTGTTGGCACGTCACAAGTAATGAACTATTTAACACAGCAGGCAGGGGGCTATCATAATGTTGGATTTACACATAAAGACCTCTACAATGCACTTCAAAGAGGTAAAGCAAAGGAAATCGTCGATGGGGATGTGAATGCGCTTATTGCCTACTTTGATTATAAGAAACATGATGATCCCGGGTTTTTTATGACATACTCGGTAGACGAATCGGGGGCATTGTATAATCTTATTTGGTCGGATTCTACATCGAGATCGGATTACACATGCTTCGGTGATGTAATTGCGTTCGACACAACGTACAAAGATAATTTGTATGGTCGACCAATTATGCCTATTGTTGGTGTCAATCATCACCATAACACAATTGTGTTTGCCACTGCCATAATCGCTGACGAAACGTCTCAATCTTTCGAGTGGGTGCTACAGAATTTTTTAGAAGCCATGATGAATAAATCACCTATTTCTGTTGTAACCGATGGGGATAGGGCAATGCAGAGGGCTATCAAATCTGTTATCCCTTATGCTAAGCACAGATTATGTTCTTGGCATCTTTCTCGCAATGCACAAGCTAACATTGGTGACCCAAAGTTTACAGCAGTATTCTCAAAATGCATGGCTTCCTGGTGGACAACCAAGGAATTTGATATTCAATGGCGTTCGATTATTTCAGAATTCAACGTCCAAAAGCATCCATGGGTGATTGAGAAGGGAAATACACGACACTTATGAGCACAAGCATATCTAACCGGTCATTTCTTTGCCAATATTCGCTCAACACAAAGGTGCGAGTCTATGAATGCTTCACTAGCTATTGCACTGAAACACAATAAGACATATTTAGATGTTGTTCGTGCAATTGAAGATGGAATTAGTAGAATGCGTATGAACGAGTTGAAAGCGGATTACTTAAGTTCCCATACGAAGCCCTTCCAGATCACAAAACTGGTTGACCTTGAAAGCCATGCCGCTGCGATTTTTACCCGCGAATCTTTTCGTGTGTTCCAAGATGAACTTATACGGGAGACATTGTACCGGATTGAGGCAGAGATTAAGTCCTTATCAGATGAATGTCAACATTATATTTTGTCAAAGTACGCAGAAAAAAATAGGAAATTTGAAATTAGTTTTGATTCTCGTACGAAAACTCTAATTTGCTCCTGCAAAAAATTCGAGACCGTTGGACTTCCGTGTCGCCATCAACTTCACATTTTGAAGCAATTGGACTACACATATTTGCCCGGGACTTTGATTCAAAGTAGGTGGACTAATGATGCGAAGGCTTCTGCACCCAGCTATGTTGATTTGAATGTGTCTCCAGAAGTGATGCAAATGGCAAGGTTCGTTGCTCTACGTTCAACGTCAAGTAGGTTATGCTACATTGCATCAAAGACAGACGAGTCTTTCAAAACCGCAAGAGATGAGATGAAAAAACTAATAGAAGAATTAGAAAACTCGTTTGGTTTGAATCATTCAGTCAACCAGAGCATTGTAGTAAACAATGTTCGTGACCCTCAACGAAAACAACGCAAGCGAAAAGAAGTGCCGAAGAACAAGGTCGAGAAGAAAATTAGGCGATGTGGGTACTGCAACGGTGAGGGGCATAACAAACTAACATGTCCTCAAGTCAAGCTTAGTTTGAGTACAAGCACACAGCCTACATCAACTGATTTTTTCGAAGACGGAATGGAATGACAACGATCTCCATATAATATATCGTAAGTATCAACATCACTCCTATTGTATGTACATATAAATATTTTGAATGAATGGAGAAAAACCGCGTTACTTCAAATTACCGACACTTTTTTAAATGGTATCGACACATTTTTATTCCAATCTGGACATAAAGTACCGACACAATATTATAAAGTGTCGATATAGGTTGTAGACCTATTCGCTCATAAAACCGGTATATTTATACCGGTTATATTACAAAATTATCTATTACATTATAATTATGGGTTCCGATGTGTAAAATGTCGACACTTTTTTAAATCGTATCGACACATTTTTCTTCCAATATGGACATAAAGTACCGACACAATATTAAAAAGTGTCGATATAGGTTGTAGACCTATTCGCGCATAAGACCGGTATATTTATACCGGTTATATTGCAAATTTACCTATTTTATTATAATATGTTGAAAGTGTCCATACTTTTTATAAAAAGGATCGATACTTTTTTTAAAGATATGTAATTTATGTTTCAATATTTTTTAAGTATGTTTCATGTTTTCCACCTACAATATTAATTTAATAATTTTATTTGCACAAAAAATTAGTTGATTGTTTTGATATTTTATAAAATAATATTAAGAATTTTTAATTTAACAATAATATATACCGTAATGTAAAAAATTAATCATTAGACGCCTATAATTACTAAATTAATATCTTAAAACTCACTCAAAAGATAACCTTAAATTAATGTTTTCCACAGTGAAAAAAGTATAGACACTTTTATAAAAAGGATAGATACTTTACAATATATTAAAAAAGTATAGACACTCAAATGTATATGTACGCATAGAAGCAAATATGGAATAATTAATGAAAATATACATACAATATAATCACACCAAAATATAAATACACAAGAATGTTCAAATAATGTACCGACAAACAAATTAATCCGATGAAAAAGGGTTGTTTCTAACGAAGTCCGGAACATTAGAGGCCTTCAACAAATTTTCCAAATACTCTCGTATGTTTCCGCCTTTTTCTGAGGACATACATAAATAATTTCAATTATCAAACTAATGAGGTGCAATTTTACTAACAATAAATTAAATTCGCATAAGCATGAATAAATTTGTGTCATACCTAGAGCTTTGTCGTTCGAATGGGAAGCAGCGTCAAAGGTATGTGGACATATGTAATTGTATTTCTATATAAACACATAAGTTGTTAAAATAATCAATGTCTGAACACCTGTTCAACTGATCAGAAACATATTGCATAAATGCAACTTACCGGATTATAAATCATTTTTTCCGCTGAATCATCGACCAAAAGTGTATTTAGCTCGTTAAAATCTGGACACGCGTTCCAAACATCATTGAGATCTTTACAGTAGGTAACAGAATCGTATGTTTTGCATTTTTTTTGATCCTGTTCACAAACAGTCGAACATAAATATGTAGGAATCATAGACAACGAAAAGTCAGCAAACTGTAATGACATTCATCTTACCCACACGAATAGAAAATGCTCGGAAAATACAGGTAGTTTCTCAAGTACACGGTCAACGTTATGCCTGAGATTGTAATCAAGTTTGAATGTTAACATTCAAATGTATATTAACGATTTTGACTACAGTAATTCAATTGCCTCAAACATGTTCTAACCTCATCTTTGAAGACCAAAGGGCAACAACAAAATTGTCGACACAAAATTGCATAAATTCAAATAATCCTCTTCTGAGGACAACATCTACAACATGAAGAAAATGAGATTAAAGTTCTACGCTTATATGTGGATACAAAAGAATAGAATTAAAACCTGCCGGCAGTCTTGGGATGTAGGCAAGGACACCATTGAGATCAAAAATTAAAAGTTTTCTTGAAGGCGGCGTTGCAAACACGATATACTTGTTTGGATCATCATCTTCATCATCATCATCATCATCGTCATCATCTTCATCGCCAGCTTCATCGTCATCATCATCATCATCGTCATCTTCATCGTCAGCTTCATCTTCTGCGACCGCTTGGTTGTCCACATCTGTTAAAAGAAAATAAAATAAAGTTCAGAACGTGTAAATGTTAAGAAACATAGATAATGAATTACCTAACTCGTTTGATGTCGTTGACGTAATTCGTTACGCAACATGGAGACTTCACGTTGCAATGATGAAATATCGGATCGCATTCCACTCACAAGGGAATCAATATGCTCCCGAAAATTGACCATGTATTCCATCACGGTCTTAATTGTGACATCCTCTGCAACTGGAGCTTCTTCCATCATTGCGTCTCCACTTGGTTGCTCTTCTTCATGGCCAACGGGGTCCATTTCCTCCCTCTCTTGATCTAATCCGACCTCCTTGACACGCTTCCAACCGAGTTTTTCAACAAAATCATATCCCGCTTTTTTAATAAATACCATGTCAATCTTGCGGGTTAATCGAACAGGGGCGTCATGCGAAAAATCAACTTCCTTCTTCTTCAACAGATGGGTGATGACACATCCATATGGTAGTGTAGTTGAAATTGTTGCTCCCTTTGTGACCATATATACAATTGTATTAAATATGAGTTTTGCAATGTTTGGAGCCGTTTTGGATTTATACTTTGCTATCCACCAATAATCGCTGTCTCGAAGCGTTGAATGTTTTCCCCCACTAGGCCGGATATACCATGTGAGCATTTTGTGAAACACTCTCAACTCTACATCGAGGTGAATTGGGCTATTTCTAGTAACCCGTTTAATTGTAGACCAATCTACACCATTTTCATCTGAATCCCCTGTATTCGCTACACCTAAACCCTCCGCAATAGTTTCTGGAGATATATATATCCTTCCCCATGACATGTGTATTAATTCCTATTATATTAGTCTTATTAGGCTCGTGCTGTAAGGAAGCATTGTTGTAGAAGACTCTAACTAGGTTGGGATAATATCTTGGTTCTACACCAAGGAATTCAAGCCAACCCCAAGATGTAAATGTGGATTTAAAACTAAATGCATATTTATCATCAAACAAGAAACCCAGGTCAATGACACGTTCGGGACGAATCTTCCTTACTTTAAAACTCGTCTGCCATCTTTGTTTCTCCATGTCGGATCTAAAGTTCAGAGTTTCGAAGGACCTGATTTCCTCAGAAGAATCGTTTATTACAGAAGGAGGTTGTTGAGAAGAACTGGGTTGAGAAGAGCTTTGAGAAAGACCTCGCTTCTGACGCTGACGTTTTGGAGCCATTTTGGTTGGATGCTACCCTTATTACAATGGAACACAAACACATTCAGGATAAAAACTCCAATATAGAAATCAATCAAACCCATAAAATATCGATAAATTTACCTGAATATCTGATCGTCACTTATGATAACGGTAGAAGAAAGAGGAAGATCTGCCTGCTTGCATTTATGTTTAGGGTTTCTCGATTAAGAGTACTATATAAACGGTGGAAAACACTTGATATTTAAATTAGTATCGACACAAACTATATTAGTGTCGACACATTATTTAGACATATTCTCTCATAAAACCGGTATAATTGTACCGGTTAGATTGAAAAATTACATATTACATTATACTTTTGGGTTCGATGATTTTGGGATCGACACTTTTTATATATGGATCGACACTTTATGGGTGCACCCTGTTTTCCATTCATTCTGGAAAAAAATATCGACACAAACTATATTAGTGTCGACACATTATTTAGACATATCCTCTCATAAAACCGGTATAATTGTACCGGTTAGATTGAAAAATTACATATTACATTATACTTTTGGTTTTCGATGATTTTGGGATCGACACTTTTTATATATGGATCGACACTTTATGGGTGCACCTTGTTTTTAATTCATTCTGGAAAAAAAATATCGACACAAACTATATTAGTGTCGACACATTATTTAGACATATTCTCTCATAAAACCGGTATAATTGTACCGGTTAGATTGAAAAATTACATATTACATTATACTTTTGGGTTCGATGATTTTGGGATCGACACTTTTTATATATGGATCGACACTTTATGGGTGCACCTTGTTTTTAATTCATTCTGGAAAAAAAATATCGACACAAACTATATTAGTGTCGACACATTATTTAGACATATTCTCTCATAAAACCGGTATAATTGTACCGGTTAGATTGAAAAATTACATATTACATTATACTTTTGGGTTCGATGATTTTGGGATCGACACTTTTTATATATGGATCGACACTTTATGGGTGCACCTTGTTTTCCATTCATTCTGGGAAAAAAATATCGACACAAACTATATTAGTGTCGACACATTATTTAGACATATTCTCTCATAAAACCGGTATAATTGTACCGGTTAGATTGAAAAATTACATATTACATTATACTTTTGGGTTCGATGATTTTGGGATCGACACTTTTTATATATGGATCGACACTTTATGGGTGCACCCTGTTTTCCATTCATTCTGGAAAAAAATATCGACACAAACTATATTAGTGTCGACACATTATTTAGACATATCCTCTCATAAACCGGTATAATTGTACCAGTTAGATTGAAAAATTACATATTACATTATACTTTTGGGTTTGATGATTTTGGGATCGACACTTTTTATATATGGATCGACACTTTATGGGTGCACCCTGTTTTCCATTCATTCTGGAAAAAAATATCGACACAAACTATATTAGTGTCGACACATTATTTAGACATATCCTCTCATAAACCGGTATAATTGTACCGGTTAGATTGAAAAATTACATATTACATTATTTATATATGGATCGACACTTTATGGGTGCACCTTGTTTTTAATTCATTCTGGAAAAAAAATATCGACACAAACTATATTAGTGTCGACACATTATTTAGACATATTCTCTCATAAAACCGGTATAATTGTACCGGTTAGATTGAAAAATTACATATTACATTATACTTTTGGGTTCGATGATTTTGGGATCGACACTTTTTATATATGGATCGACACTTTATGGGTGCACCCTGTTTTCCATTCATTCTGGAAAAAAATATCGACACAAACTATATTAGTGTCGACACATTATTTAGACATATCCTCTCATAAAACCGGTATAATTGTACCGGTTAGATTGAAAAATTACATATTACATTATACTTTTGGTTTTCGATGTTTTTGGGATTGACACTTTTTTATATATGGATCGACACTTTATGGGTGCACCCTGTTGGCCATATTGTAAATTTGCCTTTTACTTCCAAGTATCGACATGACCCTTAATGTGTATAAGAAACATGTACAACAACATACTGCTAACTTTTCTCATCTCATTCATAATTATATTCACATACAAAAATATAAATCGTATACAAAATTATAAATCTTATACAAAATTAACTCGACATTTACATCATTGCATCCTTTTGTTATTCTTATGTAATATTGCAGCTTTTGTTATCTCCTGTCTTCGTTCATTTTGATTGTGGCTTACGAGATCGTTTAATACTCGCGATCGATCCCAGTCTCCAACAACCTATATTCAAATTGTCAGAACGTTAAGTATTGTCAACTACAGCATTCAATCTACGACTTTTAACAATTTTACCACAAACAATTTTTTCTATCCACTTACAAAATCACCAGTTGCCCCTGTAGAACCGATCGATTCCATCCACATCATCACATACATGCCGCAATCATATCTGTTACAAAATTTGAAAACCACACATGTCAATTATGATGAATACTGCATAAATTAAGCTTTCTATTTGTGATAACATCTCATACCCATTCAATTGCTTATTCTTCTTATGCTCCACAAATTTGAAATTTTTCAAGGGATACTTTCCTAGAGATCCACATGACTCAACCCAAATGCGTTTCTTATTATAAGAATCTAATATTTTAATCTGCATTAAAATAGAAGAAGTTATGCACCAAAAAAATTATGCATTATAATTTACATAATGTCCTTTCATACATACATACATACCAATCTCTTAGCATCCTTCACTCTCTGTTTAGCTGCTTCAGTTGTAAACATACTATCATATATTGTTACAACATGATCTACCATATCCAACACCAACAGATACCAATGTGAATTATGGTAGTTTATTGTGATCATTATCTGCAACAAATTTCACACCCAATTTGACAAAATTCAACATTCTATATCCGAAAACATCATTTGCAATTGGTATGGTGTCTTACCTTCTCACAGTCGGTGAATTTCACATAGTTATCCAATATGACACCCCAGAAGGTAGAAATATTCTCAACACTTTCTTTATTGTTGGCTTCCAACGCCTGTTGCTGTAATTACGCAACAAACATTATTAATTTACCGTCTATAACACTACTTTTCAATATTTATTAATTTAACTCACCACTAAGAGGTATGGAAGGTAGCCAATCCTCCGGTGTGACTTTTGAGAATCGTAGCATATGGTCCAGGCGAGCAAATCGATAACCTAACAAAATTAATTACACAATCAGAACATATTCAATAAGTTTTATTTATTTTCTACTTTCTACTTACCACACCGCCAACCCATTCCGTAGGCTTCAACGTTGCAACGTCGTATACAGTAGCGAATTGATTTCCCATTGATATTACAGAATATCTGTATGAATCATTAGGATTAATATCTTGTCATGAAATATTTAAATATCACTCACAAAACAATATATTTCACTTACCCCGATTCTAACTCGCTATTCCATAAATAATCACAAATTGCAGCTTCGATGTCATCAATTCCGGTTGGAATGTCCGCTTTTTCAACCTACAATTTTGCATACAAATTTTTGTCACAACAACATAATAAAAATCAAATTAAGTATTCTTTTATTAAACTTACCTTCTGCTTCTTCTTCTGGGGTGCAGGACATTCCGAATCCAAAACTGCTGCTATAACACTCTCCGGTGTATAAATGACATCGACTTCCTTCCTCCTCATTTCTTCCATCTCTTCTTCTTCCTCCTCCCTCTTTTCTTCTTCATATTTTTTCAGTTCATCGTACTTTTTTTCTACATAGCTCTTCATATCTTTTATTTCACCCTTCAATTGAGCTCCTTCATCCGAGTATTTATCAACCACCCCCTTCACCCCCGTAAGTTCACTCCTCAAATCAACAACCTCCTTCACCACTCCCTCAAATTTTTCTCCCGTCACCATCTTAATATCACCCCTTAACACTGAAACTTCTTTCACCACTTCACCCCTCAACACCTCTACTTCTTTCACCACTCCATCTATTTTTCCTTCCACTACCCCCTTATGCCTCTCGAGTTTCTCTACGACTTGATCAAGTTTCTCTTCGACTCTTGATTGTCTTTGCATGATTTCAAATTGGATTTTTTTGATATCAGCCAATTCAGACATCAAAATGTCGAAGTTACTCTGTTTTGCTTCACCGTCGTCCCACTCACCTTCATCCCCCAATACAACCATCCCTCCTTTCTTCTCCTCTGCCTCCACTGCCTCCTCTACATCCTTGCCAATAACCTTCAAAAAATTAAATTACAATATTAAGACATTGATTATATTCTTAATATTATTTAATTACATTTATTACCATTTATTGCTTCTTCCCTCTATCCAACTTCAACTTCACCATCACTCTAACCACCTCTTCCTTCCCCCATGCACGGATGCGTGCCACTCCGGTTCTTTCATAAGCCGGCACTGCCTCACAGCCCGACCAAAAATCGAACAGTGCAACCTGCATTTATAATAAAATTTATATTTTTATATAAAAACACAAAAAAGTGATTCAACTCATTTACCTCTAAGATTGCTATGCACCCTTTGAGGTATCTCTGGCTGCCCTTTTTAAAGGTGATAATTGATTCAATCAATCTCGAATGGATATATTCAGCCCAATTGAATTCACCCTTCAAGCCTTCATCGCAAATGAGCTTCATATATTCCTTGTTCGTTGACGTATCACCCGTTGGACAAAGAAATATACCGACAAGGTACAATAGAACTCGGGCCTTCAGCTCATCCCCCAAGTAAGATCCACTTTTGATATCCTCTTCAACTTCAGTATATGTCACCTTATGATTCAAACCATATTTGGAGGCAAGTGCTTTCCAGTTCTTACTCCTACAGACTTCTATAACACTTTTGCCTTTGTTTTGTACCCCCAATACGGCTGCAGCAGTCGATACCCCAGAGGGAATGAATAATCACCATACTTAGCCATACATTGACTGACGTCAAATTGTGCCATCAAGGATCGACACAATTCCCTCCGAATAGGTCGATCCCTTACTCCGATCAACGATCCAAAACCTATTTCTCCCAGCACATTCAACTGACCCTTCTCCTTAAGGTGTTTAATTAATAAATTCACCCTTTTAATGCTGCATCTTGTCGACACTTCCTACATTTTTTAACAATATATAATGTTATAGTTCTT